TGTATCATGTGACACCTGTCTGTACAAATATGCCACCTAACCCCTCACTTACACCACTAACAACTAATATAAAAAATACAATGTTACAAGTACAGACTACCTATCCATATCGTAATCTTTGGCCCATAATGGTTCTACAACTATTCTTTTGGGCCTAACCGTAACATTCTTTAAGGAATCTTAAGGTTAATTTTGCATAGAGATATGAGAGTTAAACTTAAGGTTTATACATATAAGATTGACGAAAGTCCCTACATATAATAAATGTGTTTGGTTACTATCTGCGCATTACTCTAGCATAGTGATACAACATCATTACAAGATTGCAATAATGGAGAAATTGAACTTAACATATTCTTTTAATTGAATTCTCTCATCTCTTGCAAACCTTTGCTTTATAATTTTAGTAGCTTTAGTTAATCATAGTTAGTTTATATTATTGCTTTCATTTATAAGTCTAAAAATCCAATTATTATTTTCCTCTATTAGTTTACTTGACAAATTTTATATATTTTCTCCGTGTGAACATATCTTAAATCATAATTATATTACTTGTTAATAATGTACACTTGCATTATAATTATAATTGTGGTCTTATATATGCACAAACAGTATACAATACGTAGAATTTTTTTAAATAGGAAGCGCTTACAGAATTTAAGGCCAGAGGTTTTTTTTTTAATGCTATTTTATTTTCCTGTCGAGTTAAAGTGGATTATTGTATTTGACTCTTGTCATTTAATCTGTTAAAGCAGCAATCGTCATGAAATAAGTTGAACTTGACCTCAGCCATAAAAACCACATCATCTTCGGGTAAATGATGCATAATGCAAGGACCAAGTGGTAATTATCGAAGCCGCAGCAAATAAAGTTTAAGTAGGGAACAATAACAATATGAAACCAAACCAAACGACAAAATAAAGGCTCTCAAGACCTACCACTACCAGAGCAGAAGCTTCTTGCCCACATTCATATGATTCATTGATTAAGAAGTTTAAAATAAGGCAATGCACACCAAACCTTTTCTACAGTACAAACCCAAAACTTTCCCTTATCTTCGCTGTCTCGTTGATTTGTTTCCCCCTCAAGCTTTTTATAGTTTCAGTTCTTCCGCCTTTCCATTGTTTTCTAACTACTTTTTTTTATTACTTTACATATTTTGTTTCCTTATAAAGGATTCTAGAAGCATATCTCAACTTACTCCACTTACTCTTGTCAATTCAAGTTTGATATGAGTAACTAACGTCCCCTACCATCCATTGTTGAAATTAGTAGTTAGTGCTCATCAATAGTATCCTCTCTTTTTCTTTTCTTTTTTCAATTCTTTCACCCACTTGACAAGTAAATTAATGTAAGCACAAAATATTGAACTTGCCTTACACTTAACAATTTGGCTAATTAATTTCCAAGTTCCAACCCAAACAACATGATAATGACTTTTTTCCTATAGTATTCATTTTCTTTACCGTAAAATATGCTTAAAGTATGATTTGCATTATTGGAAAGGATTTCAAATTCAATCCTCATTCGTATTAATTGACCAAATATTTACTAATGTTAATTGAGATATATATATATATATATATATATATATATATATATATATATATATATATATGGGTTTTATAAGAGTTATGTTGTAGGAAAAGTGATTGTGTAATGTTATCCACAAAATAGTGTGGGCTGTGTGTGTGTAGAAAACTTTGTTGTGTCATGTTAAATGACAAATGCAAACTCCTATATATATATATATATATATATATATATATATATATAATACTATATGTGTAATGTAACCGATTCAACTCAAAAGCATAAGTTAATTATTTTAATTTTAGATCATTTGTTTCCAACACATCCTATCTCACAAGAGAGTTTCCTGAGTTTGAAGTGTGAGCAATTCATATGTCCCTATTTAATTATTTACTAATAGAATTGAGCCTTAAGAATCAAACTCGTGACTACTTAATCACAAAAATTCAAATATCATATAAAACAAGGGATTTATTAATATCATGTTGCATGAGATAATTATCTCATGCAACATATATAAGATTGTGGGGTCCACTACTTTTTCAAAAAAAGAAAAATAAAATAAAATAATGAACTTCACTATTTTGTCTTTGTTGCATGAGATAATTATCTCATGCAACATGAGATAATTATTTCCCATAAAACAATCAATTAAATCAAAAACTTAAGTTCTTAAATGAAGGCAAATTAATAATTTTATATTTTATAGAATATTCCTCTAACAAGAAACAAATTTGATTTTCTTTGTTAGTGGTCCCGTTACCATATATTCCTTCGTGTGTGGAGTATGTTGTGAGTTAATTTCCGTGAAAACAAAATCGTTTACAAGGAAATATGTATGACTGTGGTAGTATTAGGTCACAACGTACACTTTATCCATTTATATGATTAAAATAAGGAATTAATTTTTCTCATGTTATAAGAGATAAATTTTATTTCATACCCATGTAAAAGTAATCATGTTTTTTTTTCTCTTTTTTTTCCACATGATCCCACATAAGTTTTACATATTTATATATATATATATATATAAAATAAAATTATCTCCTACGACGACGTAAGAAACTTTAATCTCTTAAAATAATGCTAATGATGGGTATCTTACAAATAGTGGCATTGTCAAATTTCAACCGGCCTCTTTTCGCATCCAACACAGTTATGCCATTTTGCGCCGGCCATGTCATTTTTTAACTTTTTTATGGACATGGTTGGTAAGGCTCACCTTCCTACCTTAGTTTTTTGTTGCTTCTAGAAGAGAATTTAATATATATAAGACTCGCCTTCCTCCCATGGTTTTCCCACCTTCTCTATTGGAATGTGTTGGGCCATTCATTTGTTTAATTTGCTCCTCTCATGCCCCGTCCAGTACACACACATGCTTTTCAAGTTCTTTCTTTTTGTTATAATCTTAAAATTTTGTTGAATTGATATTGTTCTTATCTTGGAGTATTTTGACTGTGACCATGAGTCTATTAATTGGTACCACTGAGAGATTTTCTGATGTAGGCCCACATGAGGAACAACCAAAAAAGTGAAGGACCAGTATAATTTGCAACTGTTAAATGGCACGTTGCATATATTCCACAATTCTAAAATGATTAAAAGGGCATCATAATTTGTTGACGCGTTCTTCCTGTTGACAAACCAATCCATGAATTCATAGCTTTATCATCTCTGAATCAAGTGCCTAATTCGGACATGCCAATTCATTCTCAAAGAGATATGTTTTTATATAAATATATATCTTTGTAAAGTCTTTCTAACCAGACCGAACTAGATATGCAGAATCGGATTCCATCTAGTTAAAATTAGAGAGTTCAGTTCCATGCACTTTATATGCATTGTATAGAATTAGGTGTGCGCGAACCAGCAGGAATTTCTTTAATAATAAAAAAAACCTACTCCTTAATGAATAATGAAGTTCAATTTAAAGTCTTTATACCGAGAAATGTTTACTTTTTTCGAATTTAAAAAACCCTTTTTTATCGTAAATGAAAAATATTTAATTTTACGAGTCTTATTTTTTTTAATTTGCATCACTCGCAAAATTTGTTGGAGAAAATTGATTTGATGTAAGAAAAAAGGTTTACTCAATTCTTGTTATCTTAGATTCAAATTCCCTAGAAAGTTGCGTCTTGCATTTTATTCAAAAACAAAATTTACTGTTTTTTTTTAAAAAAAATTCTCCCTGATTCATCCATTAATCTATTTATAAAATCAAGTCGGCAGGACTACAAAAATAATTCCAACTCAAAACTATTAATTAAATTAAAACAACAATCCCGTAATAATTAAGGATTCCCAATTTCTCATGTTATAGGAGAATAATTTTTTCCTGCAATAAATTAATATTATGTATTATTGGTAGTATATAATTGTAATATTAAAGTTAATTTTTCTCTCTCTCTGTCACATCAGTGAACAGTCTCTGAAAAAAGAAAAAAAAAACAACTTTTAAAATTATAATTATATACTATATATAGTACATAATATTAGGGCATGTTTGATGCATAGTGTAGGATAAGACTTGATAGTATAAGACCTGATAGTATAAGACCTGATTGTATAAGACCTGATTAAATTTTAATATTATCCAGCGTTTGGTATGATATTGTATAAGATAATATCCTTCAATATTTAAAAAATTAATATATTAAAAAAATTTATTTTAATATATAAATAGTGAAATGATATATTAGTTCTTGGGAATTGTACTTGTAATCAATATTAATACATCAACCCCTTATGATGCCTAATCCACCACTCCTAGGCCGGATTAAGTTATACATCATTTTGATGTATAAAGGGGTCCTGCTGTATAAGCTTATACCATACGATGGTCACACCAAACAACTGAAAAAGTCATAACGTTATGTATAAGTTTATACTATCAGACCTTATACATCACACCAAACATATCCTTAATTGAGGAGAAACTTCTCCTACATAAAAGCTATATTTCCCAAATATTAATAGTGCTAGAAGTTTCGTTTTTGGTCAACTCCCAGAAGTAATTGATATGGCTAATGTTATTGGGTTTAATTAGGGTATTACATAGGGCCGAAAAGCATAGGACCCAACGAGCTCAAACATGGGCTTTCATAGTACTTAAAAAACCGCTGGGCCCATTCCAACCACGATCAAGCGATGTGGTGACTAGTGATAGTTCAACGAGATGTTTATGCATAGCGCACATATCCCAATGCCTCGAATCCCATCATTATTTAATGGGTTTATTGTTTATCATTTAAAAGGATGATTCTTTTAGATAAATATAGTGTGTGTTTTCAAATTTTAAATTACAAAAAATTTCTTCCTCTCTCTTCCCTTAATTAATATTTGTAAAAGGTTACAGGAAATTAAATTAATGCACAAGAGCGTCTATATATGCAATAGTAACAATAATAATCAGAAACAATATATAGATATAAGAAACGAAAATCAAAATAGTTTAACTAATTGTTGAATGCAAATACATCATGAAAGCAGCAGAACATGGCACTTATTTATTTCCCAATCCGAGAAACAGAATTGGAATTGGTAGTTAATAGCCAGAGAAAAAGTTGCATGCACGCAGCAATTAACAATGCTTGGTGCAGAAACAGCGTTTACGGAATCCCCTGCACTTTCCACCAGTGAAACCTTCAACAGTGCAAACCGAGGCACAATTGTGATGGCTGAAGCACAACCCTTTGAAACGATGGCTCTGTGACTGACAGTGTCGCCTTCCCTCGGTTTGTACCACCATCTCTGCATTCATTAGTCATTAACACAAACAATTAAACAAAGTTTAATTAAATACATATTTCATGTATATATAACTTTTAATTATTGAGTTGTGCAATGGCATATATATATGCATAGAGGCTTACGAGATGCAAGGAGAATAAGCAACATGAAGAAAAGCCCAAATCGTGCCTTGTCCATAGTTACCACCTATAATATTCACCCTGAAATTTAACAAGCAAGTTGTGTTCTCCGATCTAATTTAGTGCTATCTATTTATAGCGAAAAGAGAGTGTAAACTGTAAGTACTAGAAATTTCGAAAACCAGACATAAGTTTGCACATTGTTTTATGGTAGTAACGTTGGTGACGGTGTGACAAAGAGAATCTGATCACGTGAATGAGGGAATAGACCCGGTTGTCCACATATAGAAAAAAAAAATGGTTGGTCATTTGAATATGGTGCGCATAACCTTGCTGAAGGACGTGTAATGCATTGTAAAGGGCACATATATTTTTGTGCTGATTGCAAGAGAGGGGGAAAAAAAATACACAGGTTGGCCAGAGTTTTTTTTTTTTTTTTTGTAGGTCACAGGGAATAGAACACACAACCACACACTCACACACACCCACACCACTAAGCTAACCCTAGTGGATACAGGTTGGCCAGAGTTTATGGGACGGTTATGACACTCATAATTAAACTATATAATTTGTCTCAAAGTGTACTCAGGTCCACTTTAGGGTCCGTTAGGAGCCGAGGATGAGTGCTTTTTTTTCCTTTTTCTTTCAATACATAGGATGAGTGCTTTTTCGTAACCAAGAAGCGTTGGCTGAGGTTGTAAAGTGGTTCTGTAAATGAAAAAATAATATTTAATATTTATACGAATTTTCGGGAAACTGATTAGGAAAAAAAAAAGTACTTTTCTAGGGACGTTGTCGAGAGACGAGACAAGTTCCTACACATGAGGTCTAGTTTGGGAAACGGACAATTCTTAAATATTCATGGAGGACTTGTGTCCCGTTAACACACTTTTATCAATTCAAGGGCATAGGGGTTATACACAAGCACGTAAACTCATAACGGATTGTTATAACTTAATCAGTAGTTTTAGATTTGAGTTTTTAAGAATATAATTCTTACTAGAAATTACATAACTGAATTTCATTGATGGTAAAAAGTGAGTATATAATACATATTACCTATCTTTATATACAAGCTTAATCAGGTAACTAAATGTAACTGACTAACAGAAATATATAACAACTTTCTATAACAGTTTTCTTATTCTATCACGTGGGTGCATCTACAGCTATAATATTAGCATGTGAAGCTGATATGTTAACTTGGGTTGTGTCTTGGGCCGCGTCTTGGGCCAAAGTAGCTGGAGTGGACTCCAATACCCCCCACAAGCTGAACTATGAATATCTAAGAGTCCAAGCTTGCCAATGATAGAAATAAAAGAAATAGGATGAAGTGCCTTTGTAAAAACATCGGTCAACTGATCAGAGGTATCAACCGGTAGTAAATGAATCAATCCAGCTTGTATTTTCTCACGCGTGATATGGCAATCGATCTCGATATGCTTTGAACGTTCGTGAAAAACAGGATTTCGAGCAAGATAAATTACAGACCTGTTGTCACAATATATGGTAGCAGGTTTATCGTGAAAGACCTGAAGTTCTTGAAGAAGGAGATGAAGACACTGAATCTCACAAGACAAAGAGGCAAGGGCTCGATATTCTGCCTCAGTGGAGGATCGACTCACAGTGTTATGTTTCTTAGATCGCCAGGAAATTAAGGAAGGGCCTAAGAAAGTACAGAAGCCTGTGATAGAACGTCGTGTATCAACACAGCAAGCCCAGTCAGAATCAGAGAAACCAGATAGACGTAGATCATTGGAGGAAGGGAAGAACAATCCTTTGCTGGAGCTCCTTTAATATAACGAAGCACTCGGGTAACAGCATGATAGTGAGCCTGAGAAGGAGCTGAAATAAACTGACTGAGTTGTTGAATAGAAAAACTCAAGTCAGGTCTAGTAGTGGTTAAGTAAAGGAGACAACCTATCAATCGACGGTAAGAGGAAGGGTCATGATAGGCTCGTCTTGATCACGATGAAGTTTAGTAGAGGGCAGCATTGGAGTGGTGACAGGTTTAGAAGCCAATAAACCACTGTCTTCAAGGAGCTCAAGTGCATATTTACGCTGGTTAATCATTATACCAGCTTTAGAATGTGAGACCTCTAATCCCAGAAAGAAACGAAGTTGTCCCAGATCCTTAATGCGAAAACGAGCATCTAAGATTTGCTTAACACGTTGAATCTCCCCCATTATCATTCCCTATCAAAACAATATCATCGACGTACACCAAAAAGGCAGTGAAGGAAGAGGTGGCATTCCTTACAAATAAAGAATGGTATGCGTTGGACTGAATGTAACCAAGGGAGATAAGAGTGGTAGAGAGCTTCGAATACACTGTCGACTAGCCTGTTTGAGGCCATATAAACTTTTCTGTAACTTACAAACTTGTGCTGGGTTGGAAGTCTGATAGCCTTGTGGTAAAGACATGTACACTTCTTCAGTTAAATCCCCATGAAGAAACGCGTTATTAACATCCAACTGTTCAATGAACCAGTTGCGTGCAGATGCAATAGTAAGCAGAACTCGTACGGTTGTCATTTTTGCAACAGGGCTGAAAGTGTCGAAGTAATCTACTCCTTCGGTTTGGGTATACCTTTTTGCAACTAGACGTTCTTTGTAATGCTCCACCGAACCATCAGCACGAAGCTTGATTTTATAAACACATTTGCAGCCAATAATATGCTTATCGGGTGGGATGTCAACCAGTGACCAAGTTTTATTCAACTCCAAGGCATGTAATTCATCAGTCATTGCTTGTTGCCAAGAGGGATGTTTAGAGGCTTGAGCATAAGTTTTTGGTTCTGTGTGGATCGTAGTACTAAGACAGAATCTAGTAAAGTTTGGTGATTAACGATTGTAAGAAATAACATGAGAAAGAGGAAAAGAAGTGATACCTGAAGACACTTGGTGAACCATGGCATTGGAGAGACTGCAGTGATAATCACGAAGGTAATGAGGTTGGGTTCTCTGTCGTGTGGAGCGACGAGGATGATCTGGGGAAACATGAGATGCTGGTGGAGCAATAATATCAGTGTTGACATTAGATGAAGATATAGGAAAGAGATCAATGTCAGTATTAGGCAAGAAAATTTGAAAAGATGTTATTTTTGTAGGTTGGGGCTGATCTGTTTGAGAGAAAGGAAATTTATCTTAAAAAAAATAACATTTCGAGATATGAAGATAGTGTGTGAATTAAGATTGTACAGAATAAAACCTTTAACACCTTCTCGATAGCCAAGAAAAATGCATTTCTGGGACCTTGGAGCAAACTTGGTACGATGAGAAGCTATAGTAGTAGAATAAGCTAAGCAACCAAAAGAACGTAAATGAGTGAGAATGGGAAGAGATTGAAAAAGAGTCTCAAGATGAGATTTATTATCAAGCAAAGGAGTAGGTAATCTGTTTATAAGGTGAACAGCATGTCTAACAGCATAAGACCAAAAATGTTGAGGAATGTGAGCTTGAAAGAAAAGTGCTCGTGCCACATTTAATATATGATGATATTTTCTTTCTACTGTTCCATTTTGCTGGGGAGTTTCTATACAACTTCTTTGATGAATAATACCTTTGATGTCAAAGAAGTTAGGCATTATGAATTTTAATCCATTGTCACTACGAAAAGTTTTCAAATTGGTGTTGAATTGAGTTTCAATGTATGCAACAAAATTCTAAATATTTGTGCGAACTTCACTTTTGGTTTTCATCAGAATAACTCATGTGAATTTAGAGAAATCATCTACTAAAGTAAGGAAATATCTATATCCATGAATAGATGGAACAGAATATGGTCCCCATATGTCTGCATGTAATAGTTGGAATACATTTGTGGATTTTGTAATACTTGAAGGAAAAGGTGACCTATGTTGCTTAACTAGCTGACATACATCACAAGGTGATACATTCATTGAAGGTATAAAAGGAAACTGAAAAGAAATCTGCCATAATACAGATGAAGACGCATGTCCTAATCTAAGATGCCATAATGAGGCTTTATTTGTTTCTGTTGTATTAACAATAGCTTGAAATCGGCTGTATTTTGGCCTTTGTGTTTTGGTATTTGGTTAGTTATCACGTACAATCCATCCTTAGCCTTAGCTGTACCAATCGTCTTCTTGGTGGAGGACTGTTTTATCAAGCACAAAGAATTGAAAAATATGAGATAACAAGATATGGTAGAAAGTAGCTTGCTAACAGAAATCAAGTTTACCTTGAATTCAGGAACATATAGGACATTAAACAAAGTTAAAAGAGGAGAAATATGAATAATTCCAGAATAAGAGGCTTGCACACATGATCCATCAGGTAATGTAATAGAGAGAGGAGTAATTGGGTGTAAAGAAAAAAAAAGAACGAGCTGATGTTACATGATCCGTGGCACCTGTATCAAGTAGCCATTAAACTATACCATTACCTGATTTTTCATCATTTTTAGCATTAGATGCTAAACAAGTAACTGAGGTTTTGAAGTGGTTGCTAGCTGGTGTTGTGATTTCTTGCATCGAAGCCTATGATTGAGGATGAGATGACTACAAAAGATTCATTAACTGATGATATTGATCAGAAGTTAAAGAAAGATTTGAATTCTGAACATTCTTGGATTCATCATTTGCATTTTCTTCAAAGTCACCAAATGCAATATGATTAGCAGCATTTCTTGGTCTCATTGGCAACAAGTTTCTGTATCCAGGAGGAAATCCATGGATTTGGTAACAAGTGTCCATAGTGTGATTCTTCTTATCACAGTGTGTACATATCCTTGTTCCACCACGTCCACCATTTGTGTTGTTTCCACCTTTGTCTCTTCCATAAGACGGTTTATTTTTGTTATCAGAAATATTTGCATAAGCACGGAGATCACTTGAAACTTCTACAATTGCTTCAGATTGAAGGTGTCTCTCTTGTTGAATGACTAAAGAGAAAGCTCGAGCTACATTAGGAATAGGATCAATCATCATGATTTGTGACTTGACATGAGCATATTGCTCATTCAAGCCTTTAAGAAAACGGATCACATAATCACGATCTCTATCTGCTCTTATCTGATCAAATGCTTCACAATTGCATTGATTTGCACACCTACAAATCGATAGAGGCTTGAGGTTATCTAACTCATCCCAACGAGTTTTCAATTCAGTGAAGTACTATGTGATGGACATGCTTCCTTGTTGAAGCTTATACATATCTTCTTGAATATCCGATACTCTGAAGATATCAGATTGGGCAAAACGAATTTTGAGATCGTTCCATGCATCAGAAGCTTTGTCGATCCAGAGAATTGATCTTGCTATTGAATCATCAATGGATCGGTGAATCCATCCAAGCACTATAGTATTGCAACATTCCCATGCAAGAAACAATGGATCTTCTGCTGGTGGAGACACAATCCCACCCTTGATGAACCCTACTTTGTTCTTTGAAAGTAGTGCCATCTTCATTGCCCTAGCCCAACTATGGTAGTTCTTGTCATTCAGCTTTGGAGATACAAGAACTAGAGAAGGATTCTCACTTGGGTGAAGGAAAAATGGGTTTGCAGGATTGGTAAGATAATCTGGTAAAGGTTGTGCCATTGTTGAAAAGAAAGAAAAAATGAGGAAGGAAGCACTGGTATGTTAGTTAAAAGGAAGAGAAATGCAGCGAAAAGGAAAGAAAGAATACCAGAGCTTCTTTAAAGCTCTGATACCATCTTACTAGAAATTACAGAACTGAATTTCATTGATGGTAAAAAGTGAGTACATAATACATATTACCTATCTTTATATACAAGCTTAATCAGGTAACTAAATCTAACTGACTAACAGAAATATATAACAACTTTCTACAACAGCTTTCTTATTCTATCACGTGGGTGCATCTACAGCTATAATATCAGCATGTGAAGCTGATATGTTAACTTGGGCTTGGGCTGTGTCTTGGGCCAAAGTAGCTAGAGTGGACTCCAATAATAATTGTCTTAAACTCATAGAAATTTACCATTTACGTAGTCCAGTTTGGCTCAAATCGAGTCAAAGAATCAATGAACTATATAAATGCTCTTGGCGAAAGAAAAACTCTGAAGAGTCGTGAATTACTTTTTATAATTATATAATAAAAAAGTAAGGATAAAATTAATTTTGAAAGAACTGTTCGGTAAAAAAAATCTGATTAGTATTACTCAAAATAAACCGAATCAGAATATTTGATTTGGCTCGATTATTTTTTTTTTTTGGTAAACATTTGGCTCGATTATTTAATCAAACCTGGATCGATCATTTTTTGAAAAAAATACTAATTATTTAGTTTTTTATAATTTTTCCGTAAAAATATAATTAATTCAAATCAGGAACATCCCTGTACAATAAATTTCTGCATACCGGAGATTTTTGTTTTTTGGTAGACAAAATGGGGCATTCCGAACCGGAGATTATTTTAACTTACTGTAGCTTTTATCTTAAAATTTATGGAAAAAGTAAGTATTATTTTAAAGGATATAAAGTTGTGTCATTTTAAGTTAGAGAAAAAGATAGATAAAGGAGAAGAGAGAATGGACAAAAAAATATAAAGGTGTGGGTCACACCTTTTTGTGAGAGTGAAAAGATATAAGTTGTGTCATTTAAAAGTACAAACATTTTTCCCAAAATTTATATATGTTGGATTTTGATATAAAATTAAAATAAGGTGAAAATATTATATTCATTAAAAAAGTGAACTAGACATTTTTTATCATTTCCTCATTACATCAATATGTTTTGAATTTTGTCCATATATATATATATATATATATATATATATATATATAAAAGTGTGATTGAGATAAAATGACTGATTTTATTGTAATTTTATTAAAGTATTTCTCCTACAATAAATAAGTAACATAGATAAAAAAAAAACTGTTTGATATAAAAAATTAAGTTTGAACGAGTATATAATAAACGGAAAGATCAGTATACAAATTTTTTTTTTACAAATTTTTTCAAATTACACTATATTCCTCCGGAAGTACAATATAACTTAGTGTATTTTCGGAAGTACATAAGTGTAGTTTGTAAACAAAAAATTTATAAATATAACTTTTTCCGGACATATAATAAATAAGAATTCAAATAAACACACTCAATCACTCATAGATCAAATTAAGAAATTTCTTATTTCATGAAATTAACTTCATTAACTAACTAAGACTATGGATTCATCACAAAACCTGAAATTATTTCTTTGCCAATTTGTTTTCTCTCAAAATACCTAGAATGTATTTCTCCTTGAATTTTGATATTATAGTAGTTAATTTAACAATTTGGTAAACTATGTTATTTAAAGAATCATAAAATTACAATGATTTGCTACTCAATATTTCAAAAACTACCATAACCTTATATTTTAAACTCTATTCAAACATGTATTCTTTATATATACTTTTTTTCACAAGTAATACCATTTTGTACAGCTTTTAACGCTACTAATTCAAGCGACTTATGAAACAGTCTTCGGATCTATATTCCAATAATATTTTATCCATTCTTCCGTTCCCAATATTCCTCATAATAAAATGTGATTATTAGTTAAACAACGAAGGGCACAATTGTAGTCAACAGAAAGGGATTGAAATATTGCACACGCTAATCAGGGGTTGATAAGACATAATTAAATAGCAATTGAGTACAAACCTCAATAAATTGATTACACTTTGAACTGAGCAAGAAAACCATAATTAGATGAATATATTTTGCTCAACCTCACCATACACAAAGAGAAAAGCTATTTTAATTAGCAAGATAAGCTGGCACAACACTACATAATATGATGAATCAGTTGGGGTTCTCCTTCCTAATGGATATGAGAACAATTTATTTTGTGTCTCTGATTCCACATAAAGCTTTCAACAAATCCTGGTGCAAAAGCAACGGTGGCGGAATCCTCTGCATCTGCCACCAGAGAAACCTTCGTTCCTGCAAACCTCAGCACAGTTGTGGTCACCCGCACATGCTCCCTTAAACTTGTGACTCTGTGACTCACACACCCTTGCCTCTGTCTGCACCACCACTTCTGTTCTCATTAATTATATAACACATCACAAAAGAGAAACGCTTATTAATTAATTAATTATAAAGACATAACATAAAAAAACAAGTGAGAAAGACATAATAAATGTAATCTTACGAGCAGCAAAGACAATGAGGAGAAAGAAGAAGAAGAACCCAAGTGATTTCCTCGCCATGATAATAGTAATAATAATAAGCCACACAACCTGCTTTCTAGTTTCTAGTGTGTTATTATGCAATCAGTGAACCTAATGTGACTCTTGGGGTTGTGTTATATATACTGAAATGTGTTAAGATAAAGACATATAGAGCTGCATGTGACGTGGCAAAGTTGAATTCAGATCACAATCTTGAGATTTGAAATGGGGCTTCACGTGACATTTTGGAGGGAGCAATACAAAGTTTTGTCACTTTGTTCACTGCGAAAACAGTACCAGATTCACATGCAAACCTGCAACTTGTGCACAGTGGGGGCTCTTGTAACTTGGAAAAGGGTAAACATGTAACGTTAAGCTTGCAAGAGATGTAACTCCAAAAGGAAAATGACAAAATCACCAATTTACTATATTACCTTTTATCATTGTAACCCACTAATTAACCTGTGCTTCGTGCCTTAATCTATTATATTTTATTTTTAAAGGGTATGGATTGAGTAACATGATGAGTGATTCGTACTATTGGAAAGTTAAAAACACAAATGTTAGTTTTAAATATAATTTAACAAATATGATAAATCTAAAAAATTTAAATAATGTACATGATTATAAAATATCAAATAATAATATTATTAATAGCATAAATCTATGTATTTTTTTCCTTTCTATCGCCTATCATTCTTGGTAATTTTTATGAAGGAATCGCTGACACCACATAGAATTAAACCTTATGTTGCATAATAGGCTAGAGAAAGACCTAGTCAGAAATCCCTAATCAAAATTATCTGTGTCTGTTGAATCCAACCATCATAAAATCTAAGGTCACACTAAAACACAAAGTATAAGGCCAAAAACACAACATGATCATAATAAACTTAGTTTGATAATTAACCGAATTGAGATATTTTATTAACTCAAATTATTTTAAAATATTAAAATAGAATTAATTAATACAGCCCATGTAATAAAAACTTTTAACAAAAGAGTCTATATATAACTCGTTGCATGGAATCCTGCACAATAAAACGGATCCAAACTCGTAAATTACTTCCTGTGATTTTTGGTTATATCTACCTGCACTAGCTGCATCCTACCCGCGTCATAACGTTACTAGAAACGCCTGATCGGTAGACATATATATCTACATACATTTCAAGTATTGTTTTTGTTTCAAATTCTTTATGAGTTCAAGTATGAGTGTCCAATAATTTGAATTCTTATAAAAGAAAAGGTTCAAGCTAATGATATTTTCCTACAAAAAACCTACATTATTCTCACGCTTTCCTTTTTTAAAAAGAGTAAAATAATAGAAACATGCATGTATTTTCAACTTTTTTTATTTTTTACTTTTGAAAAAAAAATGTAAAAATAATTTATATAAAGATTTTGATATGCAAAAGACTTATATTATGAAAGATGTAAAGAAGATTACCGGAAAAAAAAAATGCAAAATTTGTTACAGGAGAAATTTTTTTTTAATCAGAGAATCTCGATTTTTGAAAATATGATTTTTATATTCAGTTTACGATAATATTCAATAATTTAAAATTTAAAAAAAACAGTTTCCCGATAATCTTACAAAATGACGCGTACCAAAGGGATCCTAAAATTAAACCTAGGAGTCCATGAACTTTCTGTTCTTTCCCCGTTGCTATGACCCAACGCATTGTTCATCAAAAAGTAAGAAAATATAAAATCAAACCCAAGTTCGGCTCAGAGTTTTTTTTTTACCTTGGGCTTGGCCACGAATGAGTTGATGTGCCCAAGTAACTATTTATTTGAATAAACTTAAAAATGATATATAAACGTTGAAATAGATTTCTTGATTGTATCTTGTAAAATTCGTATTACGATAATATTTAAGAATTTTACAAGATACAATCAAGAAATCTATTGCGATAATATTATGATTATAATATGATAAAATTCGTATTCGTATTCTCCTAATTTTGTATGGTGTTTTAGTAAAAGATGAAACTGTTTATTGATTAAACAATCTTGATTAGTGTTGAAAAGGTGTATCAACATATTTTATCCATTCACCTAACTAGAGAAACATTTCAATAACTTTGCTGATGAGCTGGTCTAGATGATGATCATTTTCGTCCAGCTTCATGCCTTAAAAAGACTCAAAAAAGGGTGCTTAAAAACGAAGGCATATTGGTACATAAAGTATATTTAAACGGATAGAAAGATAGATAGCACGGAGTAAGGAGTGGGTTTTATGATGAAATTCAGTGTAAATAAGCTAAAGATTGCTGGAAAAAGTAACTACAACATAGGTTCAGAATTATAAATAAACTGAATTTGTAATATTGACGAGTGCTAACTGATAATATTAATTATATTAATATGTAACCACATCCTAGTATTTCATTTAAATAATAAAATTTAGTTAGTCCTCTTAATAATAAGAGATTTCATTTGTAAAGTTTTTTAAATAACATTGTTCCCTTCATCTGCCAAAGGGAATTCTGAATTTCTTTGCGGAAACTTTGGCCAAAGACGTGAAATCTCTTTCAGTAACTTGTTGGTATAACTTAATTCTCAAAGAAGTATTATGTAAAAAACCAATTCAACCCAAAAATTTAAGTTGTTGGGTGAGAGTTTTTTTAATGATTTATATTATTTTCTAATACACCTCCTCACGCAAAAACCCTTTAGATTTGAAGCGTGGATATTATACAGATCCAATTATTTAGTTTATCTGTCTTATTTAATTTCATGTAAAAATCAATTCGACCCAAAAATCGGTTCTACGATAATATAAGAGAACTGTTGCTTCACGGTGGCAGAGATCTTAAAAGTAATACTCAAGTAATTTAAAACTTTTGTTGATCTTAGCAATCTTAATAAGGGATCCTATGTCTTCAATATTATATTAGCTTGAATTAATAAATTAATGAGTGCAGAATCTGTTCAACCTCAAACCGCCGAAAGTTAAAGTCCAATGAACGAGGGCAGAGATAAAATCTAAGGCAATAATTGCCAGCCAATTAAACATCCCAAATAACAAAACTAAGTCTAAACTATAACGCGACATATTCTAATATTTGTATCACCTTTTCTTTCACTTCTGGGAACACGGACCATGACAGATCAAATATGCTTTTAATCTTGAGCACAGACAAAACGACAAAATTATGTTAGCAACAATTCCTAAGAACTTGTTTAGTTCAAATTTTGAATTCAATGATTATTTTTAATTTAATTGAATAATCACGAATCAATACCATTATCATTTTCCCCTTCATACTAATTGGTTGGTCCTGCAATTCTTATCGAAATCTTATCCTTTTATGTTAATTTGAAAAAATTAATTGACTACACTCATTATACATAACATAGGATAACTTTAGACTGTTGAATTTCACTCAACTAAATAAATTGCGTAATCTGAGTTTTTATTCCATTACATCTAATATCTATAATGAGCCCAACTCAAATATGAAACAGAAACATAATTTATTATCTGTTAAGCCCAACTTTCAAGGGATAACTTTGAAAGCCCAAATATGAAATATGGGTCCTCAGTTGAAGACTTGAGGTGAAGCTGAAATGCGCTTTAATCAATGTCAAGCGGTATTTAAAAATCTGGCCCGGACATTGACCCGGCTGAAGTCAAGGGTCACGGGTTCAATTGGGGGGTCAGAGGGTTACTACGCTGATCCGGTTTTATATATTAAAAAAATATAAATAGATATATCCTATATGAAAATATTAAAAAATAAATCACCAATCATCAAAGATTCAAAATATACTTAACATAATTCACCAATTACAATCGCAAGTCAATATTATACAACCTAATTAAAGTCTCAAGATATCAAAGTACAAAACTCATATGCTAATGGGGTCACTACATTGATCCGGTTCCTAGGTAGCACGGACACGCAAATATTTTGAAAATTTGCGTGTGGGACACGTGTCCGACACGGACACGTTCTGACACGCGTCCGACACGCGGTCAACTCTCCGACACGTTTCGACACGTTTTTTCGATACGCAGTCAACTTTTTTCGACACGCGGTCAACGCTCGGACACGTTCCGACACGCTTTTTTTTTTTTAAATCTTAATTTTATTTTGTTAACTAAATATAAAAGAAATAATTTATAAATTGATTTTTTTTGTTATGAAATTTGACATGAAAAATTAACAAAGTATGAAAAATTATTTATATTTATATTTATGTTATGAAATTTAAATATTTGATTGGTTATATGACTTATTATGGACTCTTATATATATTAAATATAAATTATATTATATTTATTAAAAAAATTATTTAATATCAAAACGTGTCTCAACGTGTCCAAATATGACATTTTTTTAGAATTAACGTGTCGGCGTGTCGTGTCGTGTCCCGTGTCCGTGTCCATGTCCGTGCATCATAGCCCGGTTCTGCCTCTTTTGAGAAGGTCTCTGATAAAGGAAAATTTAAAGTAAGAATGAGTTTTTGTTTTCCATCGACAACCGTAAGAATTTCATTTGAAGGAGTAAAATTCTTATCTTTTCTAGAAGATTTACGGCAGTGAGGTGAAGATTGAAAACATTTAGGTCACTATAATAGAATAGAACAATTAGATTTAGGTTTGCAAGCATTTTTATTTATTTTTTAATAAAACAATGTTGTTACATAGAATTTTAAAAAAAAAAAAACATGCAATGACCCTCTTTGACCTCTCAGACCCGGGAGTTACTAAAATTCGGCCGGGTTATGGGGGTCGGAGGAGTCGATATACATATAGGGTCCAACTTGCGACCCCAACCCTCAGAAGAGAGTGGTCAAAATTGACCCGGGTCTACTTAAGGGGTGGGGCGGGATTTTAAAACACTGATGCCAAGTTGCCAACCAAAGGCCATGTATACATGTCTTTTACCTATACTTCCAAGGCAAAACATATATAGTTTGATAGTTTTAAAACTCATATTTTGTTTTATGTGAGATAAATATCCAATAAGAATTTGACTTTAATTTAAAATGAGAAATTCTAATTTTTATTTGATTTATTTAATGTG